GAAGCGAATGGACACAAAATAAAACGCGTGCGATCGGACAACGGGGGTGAATTTTTGGGCAGTGAAATGAAGGCGGTGTTAACCAAGAAATTTATTAAACAAGAACTGACCACACCGTACTGTCCACAACAGAATGGGCGGGCCGAACGATCTAACAGGACATTAAATGAAATGGTGCGGTGTCAACTTGCAAGCGGAAACCTGCCCCAAGGACTATGGGCGGAAATGATTAGAAACGGAGCTCACATTAGAAATAGAATACCACGTGCCCGTCTCGAAGGGAAAACCCCCTACGAACTCTGGACCGGTCGAAAGCCTGATTTGAGTCATTTGCGTAAAATTGGTAGTACTGCATATGCATTAATTGACGACTCGAAACGGAGCAAATTTGAAAAGAAGAGCGAACGGCTCATCTTAGTTGGATATGAATTTGAGCAACACGCATATCGACTTTGGCGGCCAGGTACAAAAGTAATTATTAAGAGTCGTGACGTAAAAATTGTCGAATTACCACCAAAAAGACATCTTCAATTGTTACCTGAAATCGCTACAAATGAAGAACAATCAACACCAACACGAGCGGCGTACTCGAAACGCGTGGTACCTTCAGATGAAAACTCCATCGTAAACAACACCCGATCTAAGACGAAGAAAAGGATGGAAGAAAAAGATGAAATGACCGAAGTTCAATTTGCAGCCCTCCTGACTGAAGGTGAGAAAATAGTGACTAAAACACCTGAAACTCTCGCAGAAGCGTTAGCCACGAATGATTCAAAACAGTGGGAGCTTGCAATGGCTGATGAATTGGAATCTTTAGCCAAAAATGAAGTTTGGGAATTGGTGGAGCTTCCAGCGAACAGACGACCAATCCAAAATAAATGGATATTCAAGATTAAAACCAACCCGGACGGCAGCATCAATAAATACAAGGCACGGTTGGTCATTAAGGGATGTTCGCAAAAAGCGGGCATCGACTACGCGGAAACGTTCTCACCCGTTGCACGGTTCGAATCAGTGCGTGTATTGTTGGCCATCGCGGCGGCCAAAGATTATGAACTCTTTCAGATTGACGTGAAAACTGCTTTCCTTTATAGTGAGCTAAAAGAGGAAATATATATGGTGCAACCGGACGGTTTTGACGACGGTAGTGGCCGTGTGTGTAAACTAAACAAAAGTTTATACGGACTGAAACAGGCACCGTTAGTGTTTCATGAGAAAATGGACGGAGTGCTAAAAGAATTCGGCATGAACCCTACTCGGTTTGACCGGTGTGTGTACGCGTCTGACAATAACGAACTTTATTTCGCGCTGTACGTGGATGATGGTCTGGTAATCGGTAGTTCCGTGGAACGTGTCAACAGTTTCATAAACAAACCAAAACTGAATTTTGAAGTTATCGGTGACGTGGCAAAGTGTATGCAAATAGTGCGCGATCGTGGGACAAAAACTCTACACTTAAAGCAAACTACTGAACATTTGGTGCGAAACCCTGTTCACCATCGACGCACCAAACACATCGACGTCAAGTTCCACTACACACGTGACGCCTATCAACGGAGAGAGATTGATATCAACCACGTTGGGACAACGGAACAACTGGCGGATATGTTCACGAAACCGCTAAGCCGTGATAAATTTGCCAATAATTTAAAATTGTTGAATTTACATTCAGTTTAAGACTTATTCTCTTAAGTATTATTTTATTTGTGTGTTCTAATTTTTCTTGTGTTTGTTTATTTAGTTCATCTGACCAGAGCGAGTGGGAGTGTTGCAATATGTCAGAATTAGATACGCTCTGGCCTAGTACCGGTGCGACACTTGTGTGGTTGAAAGTCTGGACCCTTTTGTCTTTGTCGGCGTTTCACGGCAAATCGACGTCCAGATGTCGAGACCTTTTTTTACTAAGTTAGTTTTCACATATTATATTTATCTAAGTCAGTTAATAAATACCTTCGCTAGTGTTAACATCGTTGGCCTTTTATTTTTCGCACTTTAAATACGCACATAAATTAACATTAAGGTTATAAAGAGCATAATAAATGTTTAGTCAAAATATATTTGCTTATCCCCTCCAAAAAATTGATGACGTCAGCTCAAAAGTTTGCCGAATAAATCCTATCTAAACTGTAAAAATATGATGAGTCTGTACTTGTAATTTATCATTCCATTCATATTTTTTGGATTTGCATATACAGGGTGACTCAAAAAAATTAATGAATGCGTAAATATATTTTATTGATTTAATCAGGAACTACAAAACCGAATGCTCTGAAATCTTGCAGATGTTTTAAGGTCATAAAGAGCATAATAAACGTTTAGTCAAAATATATTTGCTTATCCCCTCCAAAAACTTGATGACGTCAGCTCGAAAGTTTGCCGAATAAATCATATCTAAAATGTACAAAATATGATCAGTCTGTACTTGTGATCTATCACTCCATTCATATTTTTTGGATTTGCATGTACAGGGTGATTCAAAAAAATTAATAAAAGCGTAAATTTATTTTACTGATTTACTCAGGAACTACAAAACCAAATGCTTTGAAATCTTGAAGATGTTTTAAGGTTATAAAGAGCATAATAAATGTTTAGTCAAAATACATTTGCTTATCCCCTCCAAAAAATTGATGACGTCAGCTTAAAAGTTTGCCGAAAAAATCTTATCTAAACTGTACAAAATATGATGAGTCTGTACTTGTAATTTATCACTCTATTCATATTTTTTGGATTTGCATATACAGGGTGACTCAAAAAAATTAATGAATGCGTAAATTTATTTTTTTGATTTAATCATGAACTGCAAAACCGAATGCTTTGAAATCTTGCAGATGTTTTAAGGTTATAAAGAGTATAATAAATGTTTAGTCAAAATACATTTGCTTATCCCCTCCAAAAAATTGATGACGTTAGCTCGAAAGTTTGCCGAATATATCCTATCTAAACTGTACAAAATATGATGAGTCTGTACTTGTGATTTATCACTCCATAGATTTTTTTTTGGATTTGCATATACAGGGTGACTCAAAAAAATTAATGAATGCGTAAATTTATTTTATTGATTTACTCAGGAACTACAAAACCGAATTCTTTGAAATCCACTGCGAAAAAAAAACATAATCGGCATGCAGTCGTCACGTTTCCGACAGCGAGGGAAGTACTGTCGAAACTCTTTAGACCAATTTTTATTTTCCAAATACAGTTTCGCAGAGTTGTCTTTTTTCTCGAAGCGAAATTTATTTTTTACTTCTCGAGCGTAAGTAAGCAAAGGAAGTATTGTAATCGAGTCCGTCGGCCGAATCTCCACTTTTACATTTTCTCGACCTTCCATGACCCCTAGAGGACAAAGAAATAGGTCTCCAACGTCTGTCTGCCCGTGTGTCTGTCCGTTAGTTTGTTCCGGATTTTTATTAGATAGATAATCTCCGAAAGTACTGGACCGATTGTTGTCAAATTTTGTATTTATGTTAGGAATATCATGTAGATGGTAAAACGCTAACCAAAATTTTTCTAATCATCCCCACCACTAATGTGATGACGTCACTTAAAAACTGTACATAGTAAATTAATTTTAAAATGTACAAAATAACATAGTCCTACACATGTAGTTTATGACTCCGAATTGAATTTTTACCCGAACCGTCCAGATTTTTGGAAAATATCAAAATTTTGAAACAACATTTTGCAATTTAAATTGAAATCTGCAAAACCGAATCCTTTGAAATCTTGCAGATGGTTTACAGTTATGATAAGAATGATATATTTTTAATCAAAATATATTTACTTATCCTCTACCAAAAATTGGTGACGTCAGCTCAAAAGTTTGCCGAATAAATCCTATCTAAAATGTACAAAATATGATGAGTTTGTACTTGTGCTTTGTCATTCCATTCATATTTTTTGGATTTGCATATACAGGGCGACTCAAAAAATTTAATGAATCAGTCAAATTATTAAAGAAGGTGAAACCAGAAGCGATAACTTTCGACCATTTTTTTTAAAACGGGACACCACAACGTGAGGAAATAAAAAATTTCGTCTTCAGCTCAAATGAAAACAAATGAGTTTATGAAATGCAAGATTTTTTTATAAACCAAAATTTAGCTGCAATTCTGACTGGATTTGTGAAAAAATAAGCTATGAAGTTTTACAAATGTTAAAAGGGTTAAGCAGGTCTGTGGCGGCACAATAACACGTTGGTAAGAGGAGAAAGATAAACGGCCTCGTTGTTTAGTGGTGAGGATACCTGCCTGGCAAGCGGATGACGTGTGGTTCGATTCCACCCGAGGCAGCAACATTTTTCTTCGTTTACCTTCAAGGTAGGTTGGGAAAATTATCTGTAGCAGTAGGAAGAAAGAAGAAATTTGAGGTTATATTCTACGCGAATTTCATTTAATCTACAGTCAAGAAATGACTGATTTTCCAATCAATTCTATAACATTTAAAGCTAAAAGATATATTTTACAATAACTGTTTTGTCTGCATCATTCAGAGACAGTGTTATCGATCGATTTGTAGAACATTCCCTTCGGGAGGAAGATAGAGAAGAAATACAGTATCAAGATCAAGTGAGTCTAGTAGCTAGAAGAACACATTCTACGAATAAATAGATACAAAGATAGAATGATAGTGTTCTAAAATTTGATGAGTAACAAAACAAAGTGATCATAAATCTGAAGAATTAGTCTGCAAAATAGTCTTGATAATGACAGTGTTTCAAAGACAAGCCAATCAAATATGAGAATGAACCAGATTTGCGAATGAAGATAACAGATGAAGACATACAGAAGTAAAAAAAAAGAAACAAGAGAACTGGAAACAAGGCTGCTAGATTAGATGCAAATTAATTGCAGAACTGTCTGCCTCCATGGGTTTAAGAATAAATTTAAAATTAGAAAAAATCTTTCGAAGTCGTCGCTGTTTGGTACAAATTCTCGTTAGAGAACTGATCCTCGTTTGAAGATGAAGAGAGTCGAATAAAAGGGATGTCAAATAAAAATCTGTTTCGTAATCTTTGGTCTTTTATTGCATTTAAAATTAAATATGAACGAGTAGTAATAAAAACAATGAGTATATGCAAAACAACCGTATCTAAAACTCCGTTGACGTCTCATTGCAAAGTTCTAGCGAATCTTTGAAGATTTCTTCTTGCACCTCAACGTTCTTTACAGTTTTGTAAATAATGGTGCATTCGTCAGTCATTGGGGCACCGCAAATATTCTGACATGTATTCACAATATGCGTGGCCACAGAAACGTAAGATTTAGGCATTGCATAAATAATTTTGTCGTCTTGGTTGTAATCTTGAGAAAAACGCTTCAAATCGGTTTGATTGTCAATATAGTTGTTGTAGTCGTGAGATGTGTACGAGTAATGGGTTGGGTATTTCTGCTGCTCCTCTACTTCTAGAGAATCAGGAGTCATACTAACAGGAGGTGACGGCACAGGTTCTTGTTTACTTTGTTTGCTGTAACACAGTCAAGCTAGATACAAATTGACGAATTGTGCGTAACAATACTTTTCTGTTAAGGACGATGGTAGTACCGGTCCGAAGAACCTGGTGGCTGGTAAAGCGTCTGCATCTGATTCAGTTTTTGGTAGTTGTATAGATGTGTGGAGTCGCGGTACGTCGTAGTCCGGTTCTGATAATCTCCTTTGACGTATGGGAAGTAATTTCAGCCACTGAAAGAAAAGTACGCATTGTTGATTACGTCAAATTTACAAATATAAAACTATAAATCACCTCTTCGTCAGTGAGATTGGGGTTAACCAGACTACTAGTGACTCCAGGCGTCATGATAGGAGCAGAAGTGACCTTCGTCAACTCATTCAACAACTTATTAAGCTCATCCGAGTGTCGACACAGTTTAAAATCAGGTTTGTCTTGTTTCCTCAAAACTACATCACCTTCCGGTTCGCTAAATTTCTCAATCAACATTTGAACTTTACTCTTGGATTCCATTTTCTCTTTATCTAAATCTTCAAGGATCTCGTCTAAACTTCGTTCGACAGAGTGCTTTGATACAGTGTGGTGTGGTACTTTATGAGTTTTAGGTGGCAACGTGGGACATTTTGTTCCTGAAAAAGCAAAAAATGTCACTATGTGGCAATCCTAAAACACGACAACACAGAAGCGACATAAGAAACGTGAAATGCAAAACGTCATAAGTAGTGATTGGGAAAAAAATAAACCTGAGAAGTGCCACTAGTGAGGAGAAAGTGTAACAAGATCTACACCTGAATCTGTTACGGTTGTTGGAGGTTTACTGTCGTTCTCTACTTGATCATTATTCGGCCTAGTCGTCGGTGTCTAAAAAAAAGTTGCTGTTAAAACTGACGCTCTATTCTTCTACATACCTTCATTTTTGTTTTTTGTTTTTCTAGAATACTATGAAGCTCGGATAACATTTGTATGGCGTTTCCGTCGGAAACTGAAGTTTTTTCCACTGCTGAAGGATCAATTTCTTCGTAAATCTCTTCCTCCTCTTGTTTCTCTTCTTTCTTACTTTTTTTCTTCCTCCACATTCGTTTAATAAAACTTTTTGATTTCTTCAACGACCTGTCACCGTTTTGTTCCTTCTTCTTGTCATTGTTCACTTTACTACACTCTACGGAGCTCTGACTAGACGTTTCATCGACAACTTTGACCACCGGTCGACTATAAGGGTTAAACTTATCTAAATCTTCGTACAGATTTTCGCTATCAGTACTCTCACGGTTTACCACGTTCGTACTAGTGTAGAAGGAATTTTCTACTATCACACTATTCTTATTACAGTCCGTATGTCCAGCAACTTTGGGCTCAGAATAGACAGCTTCTTCACTCTGAACGCATCTGGTAATTCCATACTGATCATTTTCGACCACTAAACTTTTTGTCTCTCGACTTTGCACCAGCGGACTCTTCTCAACATCTCTTTCAACCACACTAACACTCTTCCGTAACGGAACACTGTAATTTTCGTTATCCACAAGAAAACTCCCTCTATTCGAATATTGAGAGTCTCCTGAAATCCTTTCATAGATATTCTCGCCACAGACCCGCTTGTGCCTCAAGAGCTCCCTGTCGTCTTCCAGTTCTTCCCTGATAGAATCTTCAGGTACCGATTCTTTGGACCCTTTAGTGTTTTCGACCACCGTGGGGCTTGCAACTTTTTTGGTGGCTATTTTGCTGATAGCCTCTAGGCTTCCTCCGTAGCTATGGGCCCCTATTTTTTGCAAACGCTGGATGATTTCGTTGTTGTCTTTTGGGGACTTGAGGGGATTAGGCATGGTGTTCTGGCGTTCGAAGGGCGTCTTGTGCAAAACCTTGCTGTCGTTGGGTTCCACCTCTGGGATTAGGTCGTCTAAAGAGTAACGGAAGTGACTCAGTCTTTTGGCACCGTCTGGGTTGAAGTTTTGGTTTTGGTTGAGCGCGGAGAGGATGATCTGCATCCACTTTTTTTGTTCGTCGGAGTTTTCAGCTTTCTGGAAAAGTGTTACAATGAAGGTTATGAAGTAACATAATTAACACACCCAGTATTAAAAATATAAAAAATGATACCATGACGTGATACTTGAGAACATCAGATAAAACTAGTAAAATAAGTAAACAAAGAAAGATGAGCTCAGGTCTTTTGACCTTGCGATAACACTGACAGTAGAATAAAGGTGTTAAGTTACGAAATGATGAAATAGTTATAATAATAAATCGCAGGAATTCTCACGGTTTGTCCATCTTTAGTACGTCAATGCCAAGAATGTGAAAGAATAAACACGAACAGGAACAGCCAACAGTCGATTAATATTCAGATTAAACAAATTATAATTTGCAAGAAAACAGTTTACATAATGATAATATAACACCTTCACTGATTCGCAGGCATTTTTATGAGGTTTACAAAATGAAACTCATTTATGTGAAAAATATGAGCTTTAAACAGCTAGTTAATGAAGTGCGAACAGAACTCAGAATGGAAAAATTATACTAAGTAACACTTTCACAATTTCTTTTTTTTTTAATTTCGTTCAAAGTGACTTACCAGAGTATAAGTAACTGTTCTTGTTTCAATCTGAAACCCATTTTGTACCGATGGCAACGACTTAACAGCACAGGGAGGTCCCAAATTGATGGACCCTTTACAGGGCGATATCGCCTCGTACTCATCCTTAGACCTGTAGTAGAGCAACAGGCGATCTTCCAACACAAACCAGTAATTTTTCCACGAGGACATCATCCGCTGTAAGAAAAAACTAATTAAACCGGATTAAACAGTGGTTCCTTTTACCTTTTTGATTTTCAGGTAGAGATAGCCCGACATTTTCACCTTGGCGGTTTGCGCACCATTGTCCATTTTAGTGGTTCTAGAACACAACGAATCCACATGAATTTTCCTCTCTTAATGAATAATAAACATGTATGAAAGGTGTGTACACTTGTTGGGTTTGATACGAATCTGGTGATCGAGAAGGGCTCGCCCTCATTTCGTGCGACCTTTGTAAACAAGGCAGGAAACAAGCAACAACAAGCGTGCCAAATCTGTTCTAAATTTTTTCTTGTGACAATTCGTGGTTCTCACGAGATTTTATGAAAGTATACCGCCGAACAATCCGCCACTTTTACTACATGATGTACAAAATTTTACTTTTATTCGTTTCCCGTGCAATAGGAAAGTCGTCGCGCTGCATTGCACTACTTATCAGTAAACTGACACTAAGTGTGGATTATATTATAGTTGCTCGTAGCAGGAAATAAATGGGCTCTTCTTATTGTTGCGCAACTCACTTTCGTTCTAATTATTGTTGTTATTTTAATTGGTTCGCGGGAAAATGTTGCGACTTACCGTGGCTAAGTTGTATGCACAAATACTGTTTGGAATTTGCAGAGTTGATAAGATAAGGTGCGATGACGGCACACCCTGGATACAGTTTGTAAACTTTTCATTCTTGTGTCGGTGATAATGATAACGTAAATTAGAATAGTTTGAGTTGGATTGTCGTTTATTAGGTTACTGATTTGATTTTTGAAGCCACGAGTGTAATTTGGAAATTGTTTATTTTTTGAATATGGAAGGTTTAAAGGAAGTGATGGGGCATTTTAGTAGTGATATTTATGAATTACCTATATTACGCAATTATTTTTTATAAAATAAATAAAACGTTAATCTTGTCTTAATCGCCTCAGATATAGTATAGTTCCTGATAAAAGTAGATGACTATTCTATTCTGAATAAGGGATCTAGGAAAAATTTAGAGTTGTGTTTGTTTTACGTTTCAGGAAACGTACCCTGTTCACTGGAAAAAGTTTGTAAGCAGAAGGCTTGGAAATTACTAAGATGTTAGTTTTTTCTCATTAAACATATCTTTGCTGAAACATAAATAAATAACGTCATATCAAATTTTGTGGGCTATTCTGTAGTGTTAGCTTGATATAATATACATAAATTTTCGAAATTTGCATAACTTTTCGAAATTTCTTCAACTATTGTTCATTTATTGGTATCATTTTGTCTGAAATGAACATAACATTGCGGAGAGATTAGTGCCGGATTCGAAAAATTTGTAAACCTAGTTAAGCTATATCATTTACTTTTTGGAACTATAATATACAATATAAACTATTGAAAGATAAGAACAACATTTTATATATTTACACATAGGTGTCTAATTGTGTACACGAAAAAAACACAAAACACTACTATTATTCCAGATTTAAAATTCGTAATATTGTGGTGTTCTGGAATTTTTATTAAATCTGCAGTAGTGTAATTGAAAATATATAAAATAATTTGTTTTGTTTCTGAGGATAAGCAATGTACTTCATGATGAGCTCATCCACGTTTTACCACTTCCACTTAAAAAAAAAGTATTGTTTTCTTCGTTCATTTATTAGCTACTACTTATAAAAGATGTGACCAAATTTAAGTCGAAATATGGAATAAAGAACACAAAAGAACAATTTGTTGCCGTTGATGGCTAACATTTTTGAGTCAGTTAGAAGAAAATAAAATTTCTAAAATTAAGTGATTTTTTGGAAAACGTAATTTGGAGAACAGTAAAGGAGAGAGTACAAGATGTTTTAGAATATATGAACACAGTAGGATGGAGTGAAGAAGAGGGTAGATTCAAGAAGGTAGAAAAATTTTAGTAAAGAGCCAAAAGAAAAGGAAGAAAAGGGGGAAAAATGGAAGGAAACAAGGCAAAGGAAAAGGAATAAAGGATGCAGATTGAGAAATCGGAAAAAGGGAAACTGGTAGAAAATTAGGAGAAGAAGGGGTGAAAGTACTGTTTTGGAAAGTCCAAGGGCTGTGAAAAAAGTAAAAAGAGTTCTGGAACTACTTGGGAAAATTTGATGTGGTGGGGCTGGTAGAGACATGGGTACAAAGAGAAAACTGGGATAAATTTGAAGAAACACTACCACAAGAATATGTGTGGGAGTGTCAAGGGGCGACAAAGGAAAAGAAAAAGGGGAGAGCAAGCGGGGGAATAGTAATGGGAATTCGAAAAAAAATGCAAAAAATGGAAAAGGGAAGTAATAATAAAAACGGACTAATGAAGAGAGTAATAGAGCTGGATAACAATCGATGGGAAATAATAACCGTTTATAGCAAGAAAATGGAGGAAACCAAGATAAACATAGAAAAGGAAACAAAAGAAAAAGGAGATGAAAATATACTTATAGGGGGGGATTTTAACGCAATCATAAATCCAGAAAAGGGAGAGAAAAGAGGATCGAAAGACAAAGTAAATAACAAAGAAGGGAAAATATTGTGGGAGATAATAGAAGAAACGGGATGGGAAATTTTGAATGGAAACAAGGAAGGAGATGAAGAAGGAGAACGGACGTACGTAGGGGCTAGGGGAGAATCAATTATAGACTATGCGATTGTCATTGTCAACGAAGAGGGGTGGGAAGAAATAGAGAGTTTCAAAGTGGGGGAAATGGTAAAATCAGACCACATGCTACTATAAATAAAAATCAAAGGAAAAGACCAAGAGTACGAAAAATAAGAGAGAAGAAACGAAAGAAATAGAAAAAAGAATATGGAATGAAGAGGGAATTCAAAGATACAGAAGTAGACTAGAAAAAAAGAAATTCGAAATGAAAGAGGATATAGAAGCTATGATAGCAGAACTGAGCAACCTAATTGTAGAAGCTACGGAAAAAAGAAAGATATACATATGGCAAGGGAGCAATAATGGATGGAACGGAGAATGTAGTGAGTTGAAGAGAAAAGCAAGGGAAAAATTAAGAAAATGGAAGAATAACAAGGGAAGGAAAGAAGAGTACCTAAAAGCAAGAGAGAATTATAGGAGAAAATGGGATGAAAGAAAAAGAGAAAAACGAGAAGAAGAATGTTGGAAAGAAATAAGAAAGGAAGAAGGAAAACATGTTTGGAGCGAAAGAGACAAGTATTATGAAGGAAAGGGATATACATGTGAAGAAATAGAAAGAATGAGGGAAATGGAAAGGAGTATGAAAGAAGAACTGAGTGTAAGAGATAAGGATATAGATAAGCAAGAACGCAGATTGAGAATATCGGAGTCTAGATATAATGCAGAGTATAGGAAAATAGTAAAAGATGAAGTACCAAAGTACACAGAGAGAGATTATAAAGGAGAAAAGAATGATGGCGACATTTAGGTGTGGAAATGAAGAGAAAGAGAATAATTTTTGGATGGATGAAACTGACAGAAGGTGTAGGATATGTTGGAGAGAGGGAGAAACAATGGAGCATATGCGGGAAGGATGTAAAGGATTGAGATAATCGGAGGAAAGTAGGGAAGAAGTGCTAAACGAGGATGGAAAAGGACTGGACTGGATGAAAGAAGTACGGACGATAAGAGAACTATGGCAAGGGGTGGGCAAGCAGGGAGAATAGAAGATTTATTATTATTATTATTATTTATGATGATTATGCTAGCTAAATTTTATAAAAACTCGAATATTTATTTTATTTTATTTATTTTTATTGATTTATTTGTATTATGTAGATTAAGTTAATTTGTACCCCTACTGGGAATATTATTAAGCCTGTAAGGCAAATAATAAATTAATACTACTACAAGATGTGAAATTGTTAGTACACAACGAAGAAAAGAATGGAAGATCGACGTTACTTGAAGCCATGGAAATTTATATATAGAAAAAAGTAATAATTTATGCTTAAACGAACAAGTAGAGATTAATTATTATTGTATACCAACTTTGGATGGAATGTAGGAAAACATGGGATCGAAGAGAGATAAGATCAACGAACGACAACGGGACTGGAGACACTTCCTAACAAAAAATGTGGACATTTGAGATGATGAAAAAAATTCCCTAGATATTTGTTTTAAATTTGATGAAGTGCCACTTTTTAATCTTCACGGAAAAAATTGACGGTTGAATTATTGTAGGTTTGTTAATTTAGAGTTACACCATAGATTAATATAGATGCGACATACAGGCGATTTTGCAAAACCACCCTTATTGACATTGGAGTCCTCAACCGCCAAAGACAAGCGCTAAATTTAAATAGTCGATGCCAATAAAAAACTTGTTTCACTACAACTGTAATTCGTGTAACCTGAATTAAAGTGAACGAAACAGTAAGCAGCTTGTAATATTCCAGTAAATCTAGTGTCAATTTGTCGAAAGTAAAACTCGTCGACATTTCTTCTAGTTAATTTGATTCCTAGTTAGAAACAAACACTGTTGCCAATATAAAAATGAGTGCGTGAATTAATTTTATTGATTTAATCAGGAACTGCAAAACCCAATGCTTTGAAATCTTGGAGATGTTTTAAAGTTATCATAAGCATGGTAAATTTTTGAACAATATGTATTTGCTCATCCCCCCTAAAAAATTAATGACGTCACCTCAAAATATTGCTTTATATATCCTATCCTAAATGTGCAAAATATGATGAGTCTATGTATACTTGCGATTTATTTTTAATATATAATTAATATTTTTTAAATATGCTTATACTTAGAAAAGTTAATGACTGATGAGTTGTTAACAAATAAATATCCAATCAGATTTAGGAATTTAACTCGTTACTATGGAAATATGCAATTTAACACCTTTTTTACACGTTCAATACGGGCAAAATCTTATCTTAGCAAGTGCTAGCCCCGCCCACCCGCCCCCTATTTGCTCAGAGATTATGTCATTTGCCAAAATAAGTTTTCTCTTAGCAAGTACTAGCCCCGCCCACCCGCCCTCTATTTTCTCAGAAAGTATGGCGTTTGCCAAAATCAGTCTTATCTGAACAAGTACTAGCCCCGCCCACTCGCCCCTATTTTCTCAAGGGATATGCCATTTGCCAAAATAAGACTTATCTTAGCAAGTACTAGCAAGTACTACCCTCTGAGA